GTCACAGTTCATCCACATGCTGCCACTTTCCTCCCAAACTAGCTTTCCTGCCCTCTGAGGCCACCTCTGTACTCCCTACTGTGAGGTCCAGGCACACTCTGCCTCTCTCTTCTAAGGCCTTTGCCCTCTGAGACCCCAGAGATTTTATGAAGCCACCTTGTCCTGTCTGCAGCTGCAAGGGGACCCGTGTCAGAGGCTTGCCTTCCTTGACCTCTTGCAGGCTGGGTCCTGTACTCTTAGACCTAGATTTTAAATGAACACTTCCTGGTTCTGGATCTTAAAGAAGCCTCCAGAACATCTTCCCTGGGGGCTGAGGGATAGCAGACATAGCGCCCGCCAAGCCTGCTTAGATCTAACTGACATCTTCCTAAAGTCCTTTGTTTCTGTTCTTGCAATTCTGTCCAAAATGGAGAAGTCTGATTCTGTTGTCTTGGGCCCCCTCTTAGATCTCCCAGCACCCCTGGGTGGATGCTAACTGGAACTGGGCTCACCCCAGAGCTTGTGGCATGTGGCAGTTCCTACCTCTCACCTGCACTGAGGAGGTCACAGGGGAGAAGTAACAGGCATGGATATTATTTTCTCAAATGTGACTCCCCCTTATGCAAATGAAATCAGCTGGCTGCAGGCCTGTGACAGGCGGGCTCACACTTGCTAATCATGATGCGTGGACTATCACTGGAATCAGTCCAGTGCATCTTGGGTTTTTAAGTGGTCCTAGATGCGGGATGTATAGCAGGTGGGAGGAAGGACAGAGACAAGGCCAGAGGGCAATGACTTCTGCCAAGGACTGCATCTGTCTGGTTCTTTCCCGGGAGCATCATGCATGGACTGCCTACTTAAAGACACTGCTGTCATACATAGCAAGAGCATGGATGAGGCCAGCCTCATTCCCATATCCTCTCTGTCACATCTTCATGAATAAGCATCTAAGCAGGGTAAGCGAAGGAGTTACTTTACAGAGAGATTGCCGCCTAAAAGGTCTTTGATACTTCATTAAGTTTGCAGTCCTTCAAGTGAATAGTGGCCTATTAGCAGATTTTGCAGACAGGGTTAATTTCTGACCCTGCACGGGACACCTGCTATCTCAGAGTCCAGGTTTGAGTGTGCAGGAGTGTGACTGCCTGTGCCCCTGGGGTTGGCTGGGAGTGCACTGGCTCAGATGCTGGACACAGGGTATTTCCCTCATGGTTGGGACAAGCCTGGAGAACTTATTGTAAATAAGCACAAGCCATCTACTTCCTTAGGGCAGGGAGCTTTCTTGAAGCTGCCTTGACTTGGCCAAACTGCCTCAGGTGCTGCCTTGGGACCTGCTGGGTTCTTAAGATCCAGTGCCAGGAAGTTATCGTATAAAATCCAGGACTAGGAGTAGAGAAAGCAGCCCACAAGAGGTCCCGAAAGACAAGATCTCTCTATACATCTTGTAGCCCCACAAAGTAGTCAGAAGACTCATGGCTTCCATTTAAAAATCACAGTATATATATCCAAAAGACTATAAATGGTTCTACTATAAGGACACATGTACACGAATGTTGATTGCAGCACTGGTTACAATAGCAAAGACCTGGAATCAACCCAAATGCCCACTGATAATAGACTGTATTGGGAAAATGTGGCACATATACACCATGGAATATTATGCAGCAATCAGAAATGATGAGTTTGTGTCGTTTGTAGGGACATGGATGAATCTGGAGAACGTCATCCTCAGCAAACTGACACAAGAACAGAAAATGAAACACCGCATATTCTCACTCATAGGTGGGTGATGAAAAATGAGAACACATGGACACAGGGAGGGGAGTACTAAACACTGGGGTCTATTGGGGGGAAAAGGGGAGGGCCAGTGGGAGGGGGAGGTGGGGAGGGATAGCCTGGGGAGAAATGCCAAATGTGGGTGAAGGGGAGAAGGAAAGAAAAGCACACTGCCATGTGTGTTCCTACGCAACTGTCTTGCATGCTCTGCTCATGTACCCCAAAACCTAAAATCCAATAAAAAATTTTAAAAAATTAAAAAATAAAAAATAAATAAAAATCACAGTAGGGGTCAGGTGCAGTGGCTTATGCCTGTAATTCCAGCACTTTGGGAGGCCAAGGCAGACAGATCACAAGGTTAAGAGATCGAGACCATCCTGGCCAACATGGTGAAACCCCATCTCTACTAAAAATACAAAAAATTAGCTGGGCATGGTGGCGCATGCCTATAGTCCCAGTTATTTGAGGAAGGAGAACTGCTTGAGCGATTGAGTCAGAGGTTGCAGTGAGCTGAGATTGTACCACTGTACTCCAGCCTGGTCAACAGAGCTGGACTCTGTTTAAAAGTAATAATAATAATAAATAACAGTGAAGGCCAGGTGCAGTGGCTTAGGTCTGTAATTCCAGCATTTTGGGAGGGTGAGGCAGGAGAATCACTTGAACCTGGGAGGCAGAGGTCTCAGTGAGCCAGGATCATGTCCCTGTACTCCAAACTGGGTGACAGAGAGAGACTTTGTCTCAAAAAAAAAAAAAAAAATCGCAGTAGGATATGTCAATCATTATTCTAAGTAATAATGTAACTAAACTTTTTAACTAAATCAGGTATGTAATTTCACATAACGTAACAGTCCATAAACATATTTTCTTGCATAAGATTCAGCATAGAATCTGACTCCTCATCCTTGGTGACAGGTGGAAATTTAATGTTTACGCTCGATCACAAGTAGAACTGAATAAACTGATCCTCTGCAGTGGCTCCAGGCAGTGTCCTTGAGGACATTCTCTCTGAAGACGCCTGGCTCCCCAACCTACCCCCAGTGTGCTTTGTAAGTCTTTCTTCTGTCTTTACATAGCTGCCTTCACTTGTCTCCCGCCTTTGCTACACATCTACTTTGGGCAGTACCTCTGATTTATTTACCACTGTCTTCTGAGTAGTTTGCATAAACCAGCTTTGCTAGAATGACCTTCCAGTCTACCACCTGACCCTCCAGATCACCCTGGTTTAAAGGCCTGGACAAGCTTCCTAGAGAACTCTACCGTAATTCTCAAAGTACGCCCCCTAAAAAATGAGTGAAAAAAAAAATTACCTCTATGGAAAATTGGTATTTAAAGAGGATTAGATGCACAGTTGTGTTTCTCATCCCACTTCCAGAAATAACATGGACTCTGGTGATCCGTCACCTTTGTTCCATGAGCAGGAGACTCGTTCCCACAGTGCTAAAGTGTCAGAGGGTCAGGAGCGCATAAATGCTTGTTGGTCTCTAAATGAGCTACTGCTGAAAAGAACCTGTGCATCTGTGCATTTGAAAATAACAAGAGTTGATGGTTAACCAGCAGCCTTGCAGTTGTCATCATTATCCCAGTAAAACCAATTTTCGTGAAACTGAGCCACATAAATTGCTTTTAAACCATTACAAATTACTTTTTTTTGAAATATTATAGCAGTGTTTAATTGAATTGTTTTAAAATAGTGGTAATTGCACTACCTTACATACTGTTCTAATATTTAAATCTCATAACTACAATTTGAATATATAATCTGACTTACAATTAGAACTATGCACAATTTCCGAAGTGTATTTTTCAGGTTGGTTTTTGCACATAAATTAGTGTTTAAGTTGGTCCTTGATTTTCAGAACTATAACTACCTGGAAGCACTAAGTTTTAGTTACATTTATTGATAGCCAACAAAATCCTTGACAGAGTGAAGGCATCAGGAGTAGCATGCGTGGAAAAGCAGCTGTTGCCCTCCACGTGCAATGTGAAATCTAGAACAAGACCCTTTCAGAGGCCTGCATGTCTCAATGAGTGACCCTCCAAGAAACCCCAATGTGTAGGAGGAAGTAGCTGACCAGCCGTGGGCATCTTCCACACTGGGACAATCTGTGAAACAGAGGCGGCTCTGGACCTCTGGCATAAGAGAAAGACTTGACATTCTTTGATTTTACTCATACTTTTTAAAAAAGATAAAGTATATCTGAATTCTCTCATCACACTTAAACTGCTGGTGCATTGACATTTCAAGCTGATTCCAGTCATGAGGCGGCCCACCAGAAACTCTGAAGAACCCTAGACCTCATTCTCCTCTTTCCTATGATGACGTCACAGACGGTCTCATCAAACTACTTGATGTCTGTAAGAGACTCATATTTTTCTTTTTTATTGCATTTTAGGTTTTGGGGTACATGTGCAGAGCATGCAATACAGTTGCATAGGTATACACATGGCAGTGTGTTTTGTTTGCCTTCTCCCCTTCACCCACATTTGGCATTTCTCCCCAGGCAATCCCTCCCCACCTCCCCCTCCCACTGGCCCTCCCCTTTTCCCCCCTATAGACCCCAGTGTTTGGTACTCCCCTCTCTGTGTCCATGTGTTCTCATTTTTCATCACCCGCCTATGAGTGAGAATATGCGGTGCTTCATTTTCTGTTCTTGTGTCAGTTTGCTGAGGATGATGTTCTCCCGATTCATCCACGTCCCTACAAACGACAAACTCATCATTTCTGATTGCTGCATAATATTCCATGGTGTATATGTGCCACATTTTCCCAATCCAGTCTATTATCAATGGGCATTTGGGTTGATTCCAGGTCTTTGCTATTGTAAACAGTGCTGCAATGAACATTCGTGTGCATGTGTCCTTGTAGTAGAACGATTTATAGTCCTTTGGACTCACATTTTATAAGCACAGTTAGCTTATTATTGAACCTTTAAGAAGAGTCCAAAGATGTGTGGAAACGTGTGCCTGCTGACAGTGACTGCTTCTATAGGGACAATAATGAAACTGAGCTACAGAGATAAGTTTACTGTTTTAAACAATGAAAGAAGCTAGGTCTTTAAAATATATTACTTATTCTGCAACAGCTGATTAAATTGATAATCAATAGAATCAAATGAACAAATTCAGCTTCCATTTTGCAAGCTGCATTCAGGTTCTTATTTTAATTACAGAACAGCTTCAAATTAATAACGGCCCCAAGAGTAAAGAGACCATCAAGGCAGTAACAGATCAATTCTGTCATCATCCTGCACTGAGCACAAGATCTGCTTTTGGATAAAGGCATTAAAAAGACCTCTGGCTGATGTGAAAAGCGAGTCAGTAAAGACTACAGATCTGCGCAATGGAATCTTCCAAGCCAAGCCGCTTTCTGCAAACACAAATTCAGTCCATCTTTCCTTTCTGGGCCAGTCTGGGAGCATCAGCAAAATCTTCACCATTGTAAAGAATGATAAAAGCCGTTCCAATGCTTGCAACTCCCCAGAAGAGCACAGAGGCCAGTGTTTCTGTCCAAGTGCCACCAGTCATAAGCAAACAGATAATGCACAATGAAAAGGCAACAACCGTGATAATAGGCAAAGCCAGGAATTCCCAGTCCCTGGGAACACTTAAAGGACTATGAGATTCTAATTCGTCCACTGAATAGTTTCCAAGAAATAGGTCTATGGAATCTTGTCTAAATGCATCAGAGAAGTTGTTCTGATAATATCGTATCGTTGAGTTCCAGCCATCCATTATAAGTCCCAAATGAGTTCTCCTCCCAGTTCTGGTAAAGTCAGTCTTCAAGGCACCACCAGTTCCCACATGTTGCTTGGCACAGGCATTTGCACTGCCAGCCCAGGCATTTTTGTAAATCTTCTCAAACTCATCTTGTTCTTCAAGCTTTTGTCCCACATGCAAAACTCCTAGTCTCTGAAGGTGGGCCTGAAGTGACCGACGAGCTAGCAAACTCTGGATCGCATTGGTTCTGTCTAGACAATCCATGCAATTGCTTTGGAACTTGCCTTCCCGGTTTGTCACCACCTGACCAGCAGAGTCCACTAGAAAATAAATTAATTCATCTTGCATTTCTGCTACCTGATCCAATACAATACGTAGTCAATCCCATCTCATATTTTAACAATCCTTATGGAAGTCAAAGGCAATGTATCTCACCATTCCACTTCCCAAAGAAGACACCATTGTTGCAAGTGGCTTCTCTGAGCCCTTCTGGTTAATCAGATTGATTATGACTTGTCTTCCAAAAATTGCTTTTAAACCTCTTACATTACAGCAAGAGCAACGCTCATAGGAAAACATTTTTGTTTGTAAAAATGACTGAAAATTCCGCATGTAAAAAATGAACCTCAACTTTGCATTTTGTATTTCAAATATATTCTTACCTTCCTTCATGCTATTAAAGTGTAAAAGAGACTTTTTTTTTGAGATGGAGTTTCGCTCTTGTTACCCAGGCTGGACTGCAATGGCGCGATCTCGGCTCACCACAACCTCCGCCTCCTGGGTTCAGGCAATTCTCCTGCCTCAGCCTCCTGAGTAGCTGGGATTACAGGCACACGTCACCGTGCCCAGCTAATTTTTTGTATTTTTAGTAGAGACGGGGTTTCACCATGTTGACCAGGATGGTCTCATTCTCTTGACCTCGTGATCCACCCGCCTTGGCCTCCCAAAGTGCTGGGATTACAGGCTTGAGCCACCGCACCCGGCCAAAAGAGACTTTTTATATCTATTTCTGTATTTCTTATATTTAATATAGCTGAGGGTTCTAAAAAAGAAATTCTAATAAAGACAGTTTTGTGGAGTCTTTATAGGGCAGTTTATAGACAAACCTACATATCTAAACTGTTTTCCTTTAGGGCTGTGTCTTAATTTCAGCTATTTCTTAGGATGGTTTTAAGGCTGCGTAATATATTGATATTTTTATTTGATTGTAGGATTATTGTCTCCAAGTTGCATTCTTAAATTACCTTGATTTTAGAGTGGTTCCCTTATGATGTATTAGAATGGAAATATTAATAGATAGTCTTAATAGAGCAATAGTCTTAATAGAAACTGGTAATTGAGAAGTAGAAATCAACTTCAATCTGAACCATCTGGGGTTGAAGATTTTATAGATGAGTAAAATAGCAGGTCCTGTGAAAGAAGTAAAAGCATCAGGGAAAAATTATTACATCCCATCGGCAGTAACAAATCAATGAAATTAATAATTCATTTAATAAAATATATTTGGGGTTCAACTCTGCCTTAGCTGCTGTCCTCACTGCTGGGGGTTAAACTTCGGAGGCCACAATCTGCGTTAACAAGGAACACCTAGTCCAGTACAAAGTTACGATTGGTATTTTAGGCTAGAAAAGTATTTGTTATGATGGAGAGCTGCCTGTGCACTGACGAGTGAGTAGCTACATCCCAGGTCAGCCTCTGCACACTGAATAACTCTAGAATCTCCTCTTTGGACTGATGAATGAGTAGCTACACCCCAGGTCAGCCTCTGCACACTGAATAACTCTAGAATCTCCTCTTTGGACTGATGAATGAGTAGCTACATCCCAGGTCAGCCTCTGCACACTGAATAACTCTAGAATCTCCTCTTTGGTTGTTACAACCCATGATGTCCCTAGAGTTTTCAAATGTCCCCTGAAAAACAAAATCAGAGTTGAGAAGCCCTGACCTAAGGGACAGGAAGATTGCTGCAGTCAGTGAGGTAAGGGGAGTGCTGGGATGCTCAGGGCATCTGAGCATAGCTGGGAACAGAGACATTCTGTCAGGGCCGGGAGAGGCACCGAGGCTGAAATGCCTTGTTTCGACATTAGTTCATGCAAGACAAATAGAATAAAAATTTTAACTTAACTTAGTAGAATATGAGGTAACGCTAAAGCAACCCTCCCAGTGAATAGATGAATAACATTTTCATTATCAACCAATTACTGTGTTTTGCAATTTGCACCTTGTTTATGATTTTAGGATGGAGAAGATTTCTATAAAATGCTGTCCCATTTTTTCCACAAGTGTTTCATAACTTTTCCTTTTTATGTTCCTGAACTACATCTAGAAGATTTTCTAAGAAATTTAAACTGAAGTACTGATCTCATTTTATTTTTTCTACATAGTGAGCAAGTTTTTTCAGCCTGGTGATTTAGATTCAGAGTCCAGGATCTAAACAATTGTGCTTTGTAGTCTAGACTCTGTCTATTCTTTAATATTGGTCCATTTATCCATACCCTAAAGAGTGCATGACTTTGGCTTTGTAATATTGTCATCTATATAGTAGACTATCGCCTTCTGTTCTTTTTCAGAATTGGTTTATAAATATAAAGGGTTTTGAACTGTCAAATAAGTTTTACAAAATTGTCCAATTGCCTGAAATCTTTTAGTTTTCTATTACAATAACATTAAATATTTTGTTTAATTTGGGAAGGATGGTTATATTAACAATATGTAGTTTGTGTGCCATTTATTTACTCTTTTATTTGGCATAATTGGCTTTTAAAATTTACTTTCTAAAAAACTAAGTTTCTAAGGTAATTCCTGCAAATGGTATTTGACTGCATTTTCTAATGACACTTTCTGAATTGCAGTAGATTTGTATTTGGATCTTTATATCAGCTTTGTACTCACATTTTGTCACTTCAGGTAGAAAAAGACAATGTTTGCTTTCTTCTCATAATCCTTATGCTGCTTAACTATATTTTTCTTTTTGGACTGATATTGAGAAAAATGCCCAAAATAGAAATCTTTATAGACTTATATACATTATAACTGGAAAAAAAAAAACACCAGAAACAAGAGACAAGTGATCCACCAGGAACTTACATTTGCTTTTATAGTTTTACCAGTGACTATTATCTAAAATATCCTAATATCTCTTAAAATCAGCATGTATAAAGCAACATAATTCAGTATGTTGTCAATGAATCTGAAAAGACAGCTCATAATCAGAAAATCTAAATACCCAAAATGTTTAAGCATCCCTTCATGTGCTTATTAATAATGAGAAGAGAGTGTATTTAAAATTAAAATGCCACTCTGTGTTTTCCTATCACTAAAGATGAGAAAGTTAGATACAAAATTCATTGTCAAGGTAGTTTAGAAGCAAAATTTTGGTGGGAGCTTGAACCCATGTAGTAATTTTGAAGACAAAGTGAAGTCTTTAATAAACTTCAAACCCAGTAAGTCAATTTCTAAGGAATACATCCAAAAGGAGTCTCAGTGAGTAATTAATCAGATGTAGTGAAATGTCAAAGATTGCCAAAAATAATATCTGATTTACAGTAGGCATAAGCATGACTGCCCCCACTCAGACCTGAATATCTGGTCACCATCACATGGAAATTGTATGCAAGTTCAAAATGACATCTAAAGAATACTCATTTAATCATTGTTTGAAACAATGAAAAATCAAAGAGCCTAGATCTACCAACAAAATAATGAGATCATAGAACAATCCAATGTAGCACATATCTATATGTCAGCACAGATTTATCTCAAAAGCAAATTTGGAATCATTTTTGGGTTTGGGGTTGCAGTGGTGTGCTCAGCTCCTCCATGAGAACGTTCTTCCAGGCTCTGGGTCCCTCAGTTACCCAAAAATGGGAGAGGGGACCACGGCGTGGTGCACTTGCAAGAAAATATCGGACCCCAAATCGTTTTTGCAGAAAATGATCTATTTCGGTAGAAAAAAAGAGAGAGAAATAGAAAAAAGGAGAAGGGAAGACAGTGAAACAGCTAGCTCTCACACTGAGAAGAAAGAAAAGCAGCTCTCATACTGAGTTGAGAAGGGTTCCCCAAGGGGGGAAATCAGGGAAGAAAAGCCACTCAAACTGAGCGAGAGAATCCAGAAAGATGGAATCCAGGGGAGGAAAAGCAGCTTCCAGGGGAGGAAAAGCAGCTTCCATGAGAATGGAAGGGGACCCCAGAAGAGGAAATACGCCTGGAGACAGAGACTTTTAACCTGAGTGGAATTCCCACCTTCTCCAAGCCCCCTGGCCAATGAAAAGAGTTCCTTTAAACTTCTGCTGGAGTGATTGACTTTTATTATTTTCCCACACCTGCGAAAATTAAGACAAAGACCTTTAAGTCTCCCAGATGGAGAAGAGGGGAGGGAGCATTGGGAAGTTCTTGCCCTTGAGACTACGCCCCCTTGTGGACCCGGAAAGAGAATACATTCCCGCAGAATGAAAAAGTAATATTTAATATATGGATTTATAGATGCATATGAAATACATAATTTAAAAATTTTAAAAATATTTGCTTGCTATTTTTTCTTAAATAGACATAGTGTCTTAGTCTACTCCAGCTGCCATAACAAAATATCATGGACTGGGTGGCTTAAACAATAGAAATTTATTTCTCACAGTTCTGGAACTTGAAAGTCCAAGGTCATTGTGGGCACTGGAGAGACCTTTCTTCTTAGCTTCTGGACAGTCACATTCTCACTGTGTCCCTACACACCCTTGCCTTGGTATGTATGCATAAATACACAGAGAGATCTCTATCTTTCTCCTCTTATAAAGCTACAATCCTATTGGATTAGAACCCCAAGTTTATGACTGCATTTAACCTTAATTGTCTTCTTAAAAAGCCCTACCTACAAATGAGGTCAAATTGGCGGTTACAGCTTCAATATAAGAATTGTAGGAGGGCACAATTAAGCCCTCAGCACATAGTAAAGTAATAGATGTATGTTCATTTATTATTAGCTTAGTTCAAAAGCAGTTTTATGTAAACATTTATTTATTTACATAAAAACTAGTTGTTTACATATATGCATTTAGCAATTGGGAGCCAGATTACAATGAATCACATCCATGTGGAAAATATTGGAAAATCAAGATTCAGATAAAAAGGAAAACCATGTTTGTTCATGCACTGATGGATGAACACATATTTCCTACTGAAAAATATAATTGATGGTACAAATTCAATTCTATACCAATATGGGCAAGAGATTAAATCATATAAATTTAAAAATCTCAGTATGAAAATGAATGGTGTATGAATATATGTAGAGGGAACCTAAATAAGAGCAAGGATATAATGAAGCTGTTATAAATAATCAGCAAGATTGAATTTAATGAGAACTTAAAATTTCACTCAACAAAAATAAGATCATATTTTAGATGTTAGGCAGTAGAAGTAATATCACATGAAGGCTAGGACACATGCAAGATGCTGGCCCATTTAGATGGAA